TTTGCATATAGCATCTATGGGTGAAGGGGAACAAAAATTGTGAATTTCATGGTCACTACCCCCCTGGGGCCTGAGGGTTGGGGCTAAAATCACCAAAAATAATGCATTCTTTAAAAATCTTCTTCTTTACTCCTGGACATCAAGCAGTCAAACTGTTGGCATCATTGTAATAAGCATTGAGTCTTCTACCAAAATCTTGAAATTCATGGCCCCAGGGTCAGGGGTTCTGGCCCCAGGGTAGGGCTATATAGATCATATAGTGAAAGTGCATTATTTCTATGAAAATCTTCTTCTCTGCTCCTGGGTATCAAATAAAGTAAATAAGTACATAGTTATGATGAGCAAGAGTGCCTCTTCCAAAATTGTGAAATTCATGGCCCCAGGGTCAGGGGTTCTGGTGTTAGGGCGGGGATCTATTGATTATATAGTGAAAATGCATTATTTCTTTGAAAATCTTCTTCTCTGCCCCTGGGTATTAAATAAAGTAACTAAGTACATATTGATGATGAGCAAGAGAGCCTCTTCCAAAATTGTGAAATTCATGGCCCCAGGGTCAGGGGTTCTGGTGTTAGGGCGGGGATCTATTGATTATATAGTAAAAATGCATTATTTCTTTGAAAATCTTCTTCTCTGCCCCTGGGTATTAAATAAAGTAACTAGGTACATATTTATGATGAGCAAGAGAACCTCTTCCAAAATTGTGAAATTCATGGCCCCAGGGTCAAGGGTTCTGGTGTAAGGGCGGGGCTCTATTGATTATATAGTGAAAATGCATTCATTCTTTGAAAATCTTCTTCTCTGCACCTGGGTATTAAATAAAGTAACTAGGTACATAGTTATGAAAAGCAAGAGTGCTTCTTCCAAAATTGTGAAATTCATGGCCCCAGGGTCAGGTGTTCTGGTGTTAGGGCGGGGATCTATTGATTATATAGTGAAAATGCATAATTTCTTTGAAAATCTTCTTCTCTGCCCCTGGGTATTAAATAAAGTAACTAAGTACATAGTTATGATGAACAAGAGAGCCTCTTCCAAAATTGTGAAATTCATAGCCTCAGAGTCAGGGGTTCTGGTGTAAGGGTGGGGCTCTATTGATTATATAGTGAAAATGCATTATTTCTTTGAAAATCTTCTTCTCTGCACCTGGGTATTAAATAAAGTAACTAAGTACATATTTATGATGAGCAAGAGAGCCTCTTCCAAAATTGTGAAATTCATGGCCCCAGGGTCAGGGGTTCTGGTGTAAAGGCGGGGCTCTATTGATTATATAGTGAAAATGCATTATTTCTTTGAAAATCTTCTTCTCTGCTACTGGAGATTATTTAAACAAACCAAGTGCATGGTTATGATGCATAAGGATGCCTTTTCAAAAATTGTGAATTTCATGGCCCCAGGGTCAGAGTTTCTGGTGTTAGGGCGGGGCTCTATTGATTATATAGTGAAAATGCATTAATTCTTTGAAAATCTTCTTCTCTGCTACTGGAGATTATTTCAACAAACTAAGTGCATGATTATGAGATGCAAGGATGCCTCTTCCGAAATTTTTAAATATATGGCCTCAGTTTTGGGGGTTCTTGAGGAGGGGGGGGGGCTCTATTGATTATATAGTGAAAAAGCATTTATTCTATTAATTAATCATTAATTAATCCTGTCTGCTCCTTAGTGTTGAGCTGATAAATAAATTGCTTAGCTATGATGAAAATGGGAGCTTCGAACAGAATTTTTAAATCTTGTGGTCGTAGGGTCAGGGGTTCCAGCATAACGAGGGATGGGGGGCTTTTGATAATATAGTGGAAAAGTGTTAATTCTTTGAAGTCAATAGTTATGATGATGAGGGTAACTCTCCGAAATTTGTAAATTTCTTGACCCTTGGTCTTGGGTTCTGGTGTTAGGGTAAGGCTTTGTTGAATCTGTAGTGAAAATGCATTGTCCCTGTGAAATTCTTCTCTGCTTCTGGGCATATCGGAAGCAAACTGAGTAAAAGTAACCGTATTTCTACCAGATTTTTGAACATCTGGACCATTTGTCTAAGCATTCTGGTCCTGGGCAGGGCTCTATTAATTTGTATTCTTCTGAGAGAAGTTATTCCCCTTTTCCATTCACCTTTGATAATTAATCACTGTAAATAATGTATTTGAAAGGTTAATAGAATAAGATAATTATGCAAGAATGTTTTTCGTATAATTCAAAAAGTACTCTCTTAGTTTTAATAATCAGGTAGACCTGTAAGTAATAGATAAATAAAAATGAGACAAAAATAACTTATATTATTAAAAGTTCTTCAAAGACCATGAGAAAGGTCAATGCTAGAGGTCTTAATATGGGTTTAAAAATAGTACAGAAGCATAATACTTTGTTAATAGTCTGCATGGTGATAGTGTTAAGTGGGGGACAGATTAGAACTTAATTTATGAGTTGATTCTGAATACTACACTAATTATTTTGTTGATCCTGATCTTCCAACTTCTCTTGCTTTAGGGCAACAAAGCTTCATCTATCAGTGTATTTAACTTCTAAATTGTTGTATTATACTCAGGTGACCGTTAAGGCCCTTGGGCTTCCTGTTTTTGGATACAATTTATGTATTTTCAAGGGCTTTTAACTGTATCATATTTTCCGTTCAGTTCCGTTTTCCCTTTTGCGTTTTAGCAACACACATATTTGGAGATGGACCGTCAACACTTATCAATAACTTCCTGTAAATACACATGTAGATATAAATTGATATCGCCGTCCTTTCTATTTCTGATGCATGTAAATTCAGGAACAATACAGCGTCTCATTTGTATGTTTGTTAGGCGTTTTTTCATCAACATTCACCATATTGTTTAACACGCTGAGTGCCTCAGAAACCCTGCAAGATTTGTACATTTTCCGACTTTTTCACAAAAGAGCGCACTTAGACCTATAACTCTTTCATGTCGAAAATAGAAAGTATTGAGATAGGACTTTAAACTTTTAAGATAATCAGTTCGTTGGAAAATAATACTGTTTGAAAAAATCAAATTGCGTATATACTGATGAGATCAACATAAAAAAACAACACAAAATTAATATTGAATTAGATATAACTTCAAATTATTATTTGAATTTGTCGTATTTAAACTAGTATACAATCTTCGCTGCGGGCTTAAAAGCTAGCACATAAACCCAAATATTTTTAGGTTCAGTACAGAAAATAACATTAATCACACACTCACAGGGATGAACTCAAAGATAAAAAAATATTGAGGAATAGATATTTTGACTCGACTTATAGACGAATTTTTAAAAAAAGAAATCGATATTAGTCCTCTTTCTTGTCACTCTTTCCTCAAACATGTACTTAGGACTCTGGATAGGGGTCAGCATTTTTTTCTGTAGATCTGTAGTACGAGGAGGAGGGGTGGAGGGGTTACCTAGACTTTTTCTGAGAATAGTCTTTTGCTGTAATTTTAATATGTGAGATTTGATTTGGATGCTACTTGCCTCTCTCCGCTTTCTGTTATACAGTCCTACATAGGCAAATTCCAACAAAGATATACTGAAATGTTAGAGAAAGACCTACCCTCAACCCCTCACCCCCCACAACCAACACACACTTTTTTTTCAAAATGTGTATTGAGATAGGAATTAAAATTCTAAAACATTTTTGTGTTCATCGAAAAATATAACTAATATGAATATTATTTTTTTCCCTATTTTCGTGTGAAATCGGTATAGAAAATTATATACTGAATGAAATTTTTCTTTATCTTGTTGTAACGCAGAGAGTATGGCCTGCCTTAAGGAACATAATGTGATTGCGTATCGTTTGGCACCTTGTACTCCTTTGTTCAATAGGATTTACAGTTTTAAGGCCTGTACAGAAACCTAAAGATGCCGCCATTTTTCAGCGTCCTTATTGAACATAAACATTTACATTGAACCGTTAAATCAGTTAGTTGAACCTTGTACATGGAAAAAACAACTTTAGATGATATTTTAATTCGATATATGTTTTTTTTAAAAAAAAAAAAAAAAAAAAAAAAAAAAAAAATTGTAAACTTGTCTGGTCGGAAATACAAAAAACGGTATTGCTGATATTATGCTTAGTGTGTCGTGGCCTTGATTCAAGTTCAAGGTCACTAAGGATTAGATTTTTAACTGATGTATGATCTGAAAGACCATGTGTGAATTTGTCAAGTCTGTAACACTAGATAGGGTTTGCTAATAACCAGAGCGTGTCATGGCTTGATGCAAAATTATTTTGACAAGTTCAGGGTCACCACTGTACACTCCTTTACTTCCTGTCCACAGCTATAATGGAGAACCTACTCGTTGCTTTGCAACAAGCTCTGCTCTAGTTTTACCAAATATCATTATTAATACCAAATTTAATTTAGAAAGAAATGCTGCCCGAAGATTGAATGTATAGTATAATAATTTTTTTTTTCTGTTCTTCTACGAACGTGTATCGTTTAATATATATATATATATATATATATATATATATATATATATATATATATATATATATATATATATATATATATATATATATATATATATATATATATATTAAATAGGTCTCGAAAAGAACAGAAACATATATACTATTTTGTTGTTTTTAATATATGTTTTTTGTATGTTGTTTTAACGTCCATTTCGAGAATTTTTCACTCATATGGAAAGGCAACCACTTGCCGGTGGAGACCTGCAAATTTTGTCCTATACTCGGCATTTACGGCCATTGAGCAGTGAGGGATCTTTTTCGTGCCAGCACCTACTGCGACACGGGAGCTCGGTTTATACGGTCTCATCCGAAGGACCGGTCTCCACGTCCCACAGTGGGATTCGAACCCGCAACGTAAGGATCAACTCCTTACTCCGCGACTCTAGAGCAGACGCTCTAATCAGTGCGCCACGCGGGCGACTGTTTTTAATATATGTATATAACGTTTAATTTGCCTTCCATTAGTTGAAAGATTTTAATTACAAGAAAAAAAAACATAAATGCTTTAAATGTTTACTTGGTTATGTAATATCTGTTAAATCTAATCATAAAACCTTAACTAATATAGATTTATAAAGTATTATCAACAACGAAAATTGGAAGAAAGAAAATAGGAAACAAAACTGCATATCCCCGATTTCCCCGTGATGTTTACTTTTGCTAGACGATTGATAAGGCATTATAATTAAAATCAGATAATTAATCTTTGACGAATAATTTCTCATTTAGGTAATTTCTTTTAAAGCTTTGTGTCGTAGTTAAGAGATGATTCTAATTTCAAATTATCCTGATTTTCGTGATTCAATTCTATTGGATGATCGTCATTTTTGATCAAAGACACATCGTCGTTTTGAGGAATGGAAGAGTCGTCGACAAAATAAGGCGTGTCAATCATTGTTCTTGAATGTCTCATTCTGCAGGGGAAAAAAACACGTTTTTGTATTTGTTTTTTTTTTTTCTAAGTTTATGATAAAAATAATGCACTTTAAATCTTAGAGAAGTTATTATTTTAAAGATAAATGAACGTGATTTCTTACCTCTTTATAATTTTGAAAAGCATATAAATGCCAATAACAAGGAGAGTGACACAAAAAGCGCTCAAAATACCATAAAATTTTATTTGGGAGACATTTTTATCGTCTTGGACTGTAAGAAAAATATATATTTTGTTATCAAATATGTTTGTATGTTAGAAGTCACTCTATAAATTAGGCGTATATATAAATATTATACACTTACCCATTATACATTCATCCCCCTTCACTCCAGCCTTACAGCCCGAATTACAGGCACCAGTCACGTGATGGCAGTCACGTGATACTTTACAAAACGTACTACATGCGCTTTTACAGTCAGGTCCATAAAATCCAAATTCACAAACTACAAGAAATAGAATTCACACGTTGACTATTTCAAAACAAGGATATTTTTTTTTAAGACATGCTTCTCAGAAATATACCATGGAACTGTGCAGCAGCATAGCGAGTCTTAACAATATAATTGCCTTTTTTTACCTTTATCACACTTATTTCCCTGATATCCTGATTCACAACCATCAGCACAGGTACCACTGACGTGATGACAAGGCTCGCTGTCCACACATTTACCACAGATCTTACTACAGCCAGCTCCATACCAATTCATTTCACACACTAAGGTATTATTTACAAAGTTATGCAATAATAGTGGCTTTGCCATTATTTTTCGACATTATATTTTTTTTCACCTCCAATACTACGGGACTTGTAACTTTGGCCAAAGTAAAATAAAACAGAATCAGTATAATAAATAAATCAAGTTTCTAAGTTAACACTTTTTACTTTGTAAGTAACCACTTTTAAGCAAACGATTTTAAGAAAAAAAAAAATGTTTACCCTCATGACAGAATTCTCCTTTCCAACCAGGATGACATATATTTCCACAGGAACCATTTATTCTGTTACATTCTTGGCATGTCTCATTACACTTGTATGCACAGTTTTCTCCAAAGTATCCATCTTTGCATGCTTAAGAATATATATATATATCCATTTCAAATACAGTTTAGTAAAAGGGTAAATGTAGTGGCCTCTGCAAACTCACATATACAGATGTTCTGCTTACAACGAGATAATTTTTGAGATCATAATTATTGTTTATATTTTCATGAAAATGTCAGTTAAGCGAGATTATCAGTTTCAAATTTATTATTTTATAATATAAATCGTAAATAAACCTTCTGTTCTGTGATTTATTTTTGATTACTTGTGTTGCAGAGTTGTCCTTCATATCCCCTAGCACATCCATTCAAACACGTCCCATTTATTGGGTTACATTCTTCTGATTGCTTGCAATATCCACAAGTCATGCTACAGTTCTCACCAAAGAACCCATTCTCACATTCTGTAGTTTATATTACCGTTTCACACAAAATACAACATGTATTTCTAATAGATTAATTTAATTTAATTTCATTATGGCAGAGACCATTTTAGCAATTTAAGGAATGAAAATCTGAAAGAGCAAGTATAAGCCACATTTTCATTTTTTTTTTTAAATCAATTTCCATGGATTTCAATTTATTCATTGTTATTCTTATTTTTCCACCTTTTTTAAACAGTGACAAGAGCACGGATTAACAAAATACGTATGTTTCCCAAATGTTCGTTACAAATAAAAAACAAAATCAAAATAAGAATAAAAATGTGATTTTACTATTTTTACAGCATATATTTTTGCATGCAATTGTCATAAAACGCAACTACACATTTTGAATTATAAGTTTTAAAACGTTTCATTGGAAATTTAATAAAGGCAATCTAGACACACATATTTATGTTATTAAATACTTTAGGAAATGGCCAGATAGAAATGTTGAAAAAAATGGAATATAGGTATAAAAAGGCGAAGTCAGCAGACTGTGATCAATTAAAAAAAATATTCAAAACAACAGAAAAGACGGACCCCAAGAAATTCAGAAGGGAATCAGATGACTTGGAGGAGTTAGAACCCCCTGTTGACTGGAACCACCCACCGTCAGCCCTAAATTAATGAGGTAAACGAAATATTCAGAATTCAAATTCTGGATAAAGTCAAAGATCCAATATTTGGTATAAAACAAATTAGAGAAAATCCGACTCATACCACCTAAGGTAGTACTTGCTGACAAGGTCATCCTTATGACTTTAGAATTTACGGAACACTGATTTAAACGAAGTTGATAAAATCCATACAACATTAACTTATCTGTCAGTGGCCTGTCTCGGTTTTAAAACTGATTGTACTAGGAGCATTCTCTTGAGTATCGAACAATTTGGGAGGTATACACACCATATGCAGGTGAAGGCGAGATATTGCAACATAAATAAGAAAAGTTGAAGAAGCAAATGCTGAGGTCGTCTCGTTTGCCATGCAATTTAATTGTTTGTTGGCCCTTGATTCTATAGTTATTAAAAGATTTTGATATGGCAAATGATTCCTATAACTCGGGAAGGGAAGCGAGTTTTTGGTTTTATCTTATTCTTTGAAACCCTGAATAAATAGAAATATTTTAATTTTACATTATAAATGATGGTTAAATTAGTTGAAGGCAATTGCTCTAAAAGATGTTGAAATAAGTAAAGGTTGATATCTAAATAAACATGTTTTTTTGTGAAAATACTTAATTGCTTAACCTTCATGACAGAAATCTCCTATCCAGCCAGCATGACAACCATTCGCACAAATACCGTTTGTTCTGTTACATCCTTTACATGTGTTGTTACATGTTTTTACACAGTTTTCTCCAAAGAATCCATCTACGCATGCTGTATGGTAAGAGAAAAAGAACAGTAATTAGCCTGTGATTACAACGCTTTCTTTTAATATTTCAATACAATTTATACAACAATTATGTATATGTAAGTACGCGTTTAAAATGTAAATCAAATACTTTTATTGCAAAAGTCCCCTTCATATCCCACAGAACAACCACTCAAACACGTTCCATTTATTGGGTGACATTCCTTTAATTGTTTGCAAAATCCACAATCCTGGTCGCAATTGTCCCCAAAAAATCCATAATCACATTCTGAAAAATTAATAGAATTTGTTGGTATTTGACGAATATTATAACACAATAAAGTCCATAATAATGGAACAATATATTTTCCTTAAATGGAGGGGGTCTGTAAAAGGTTTAGTCGTATTCACTTAAGGCTTGGAAGATTAGATATCAATCTGTTTTATAAAGGAAAGAAGAAAACATAGATATCTTAAACCAAATTTAAATTATGAGTCTACATAGTGGTATTAAAATGATCATTTAAGTAAGAATTTGCAACAATTTATTCACATATTTAGCAGTAAATTGAAATCAATTAATATGACTCAAAGTTGAGGGTGAAGAAGTGTTAGCTTTGAAAATTGTCCAGTTTGATATGTGTATTTTATATGATTGTAGTAAGCTTTTGAGCAAAAATTTAATTCTATTTGAGTTATAGTATTTTTTTTCTGTTAAAACATCTAAACTGCATGCATATTAGAAAGAAGTGAGCTGTATCATGGATGATGAAATACAACATGTGTGAAATAATAGCTATTACATTGCGTACCTTCATGGCAGTAGTCTCCTTTCCATCCTGGATGACACCCAGTTTCACATTTACCATTTGTTGTGTTACATCCAAAACATGCAGTGTTACACTTCTCCAGACAGTTTTGCCCAAATGTTCCGATTTCGCAGGCTGTCAAGTACGTCAATATTAATAACTAAATATATCTCTTGAACTTACAATATGAAAAAAAAAAATCGGAAACAAAAAATGACTGTTTTTTTAATATATATATTTTACATTGCTGACTGTTTACTTTTGTTGCAAAATGTCCCTTCATATCCTTCATCACAACCGTTCATGCATGTCCCGTTAATAGCTTGGCATTGTTCCAAGTTTACACAGTGTCCGCAAGTTATGCTACAGTTACTGCCGTAGAATCCGCCGCTGCATGCTGAAAAAAAAAACCAACAAAAGAAATACAACAAAACGATTCATTTCAAAGTGTTCAATTTGTATTCTGGTTATTATGTTCCTTTTTTGTCTGCAAGGAATGTATGAAACGATATCGATATTTTTTTTTCGGTAATCAGATGATGAAACTGCAACTTTCAGTCAACTAAATGATCACCTTAAGGTTTCGAAAGGTGACTGAATGGCAAAACTCTTCCAATCCGTCTCATATCAGCAATCTTTCAGTCACCTCTTAGATAAATGAATGAGAAAGTTTCATCCTCTAAATACTAAATATGTATTGAAAATATCAAAAATGTCTTAACCCTTTAACTACCACACAATGTCTGTCATCCTTAAGACTTTGGCTTTATAGCTTTCTGATTGTCGTAATTATAAGCAATTTTCAAATCGCTTTCCCTCCTACAGTTTTTGCCTGACTTCAATAAAATGTGGTACACGTGTAGAGTATACTAAAACACAAAACTATTTATTCTAGTATTTTTATTTCAATGAACAGTGTTGCCATTGTAACAAAAATAGTAATTTTGAGAATGGGGCTTCCTAATAGACACGGGTATACTATATTCAGTAATTTCCAAATCGCTTTCCCTCCTACAGTTTTTGCCTGACTTCAATAAAATTTGGTACACATGTAAAGTACAGTAAGATACAGAATTCTTTATTTTAGTTTTTTTTTTTTTTTTTTTTTTTTTTTTTTTTTTTTTTTTTCAAGAGTGTTGCCATGGTTACAAAAATAGCAATTTTGAGAAGGGAACTTTCTAACAAACATGGGTATACTATATTCAACGTCATGGTATACATTAAAATTACAAATATCAACGTTACAAAAATGGACATCTATAAAACGTTCGTCGAAGTGAGAGGAGGAGAGATTTTGCTGAACTTTGTCTCTTATTCGTTTGTTAAATGTTGCTTTGAGGTCCTTGGAATCATGCGAGAAAATATTTAACCTTAAATACCGTTTTTCTCTTCTTTTTGGAAAACCCACTTGTTTCAGAAGAAACAATGCCCAGTCGTTTTTTATATCAAATGGGCCCCCATTTACTTCAGTAGAGTTTTATCATTGAATAAAATTACTTGCCTGGTTCCAGCGACCTGCATTTGAGAATTCACAACACCCTGATATGTACTCAAACATACAATATCACTAGTTCATCATTAAGTTTTAAAAGACAGCCATGGGGACAGTATGGTAAAGAACTACGCACACTAACTCTCGATTCCAACTTAATTTTACACGCCTTAATTCAATAAAATTGACTCTCTTTTTTTTATTGCAAACAAGAGTTCACTAGTGATTGAATTATGTTATAAATGTATTGTCATATTGAAATTTTTGAATTTACCGGGTGGAAGTAAATACAACAAATTACACTATGACAACTTGTTATATTGTAATTTTTAGCTAACCTAAGTGTGCATTTACCGTTCACGGTAGCTCAGTCGGTAGAGCGTTCGCTCCGTGATATCTCGGCCCTGACTGAACTAAGTCGATAAAAAAAATGGGTAGCAACTCTTCCTTCGCCGGGCACTCGGAACTTTGAAGGGAAAGTTGCGGGTCCTTCGGATTAGCCCTTAAAAACCGAGGCCCCGTGTCAAGGTAGGCGTTGCCACGATAAAGATCCCTCACTGCTCAATGGCCCTGAGTCAAAATTTGAAGCTCTTCTCCGGTATATGGCGACGTCTCTATATGAGTGAAAAATTCTCGAATGGGACGTAAAACAACATACAATCAATCTATCAATCATCAAGTGAGCTTTTCTGATCAAAGAGTGTCCGGCGTCCGTCTGTCGTCTGTAGCCCGTAAACTTTTCACATTTTCGACCTCTTCTCAAGAACCATCGGACCAATTTCAACCAAACTTGCTACAAAGCATCCTTGGGTGAAGGGAATTTAAGTATGTTCACAGGAAGTACCACGTCGTCTTTCAAAGGGAGATAATTAAGAATTTATGAAAATCTGGTGGCATCATTTAAAAATCTTCTTCTCAAGAACCACTGGACAAGGAAAAATGAAACTTATGTGAAAGCTTCATTACATACTGTAGATTCAAGTTTTTATATCATGACCCCTGGGGGTAGGGCAGGGCCACAAGAGGGGGTCGAAGTCTTACATAGGAATATATAGGTGTAATGGTTAAGGGGCATATTCGAGTAAAACGCAATGAAGACCTCAAATAATGGAATGACCTGACAAGCCTTGGAATGGACTAGCCTAACCAAAGGGTATATAAGGCAAAGCTTTGAGAAAGTCAGGCATTCAGAAGCTAGCAGAAGAAGTTTGATGCTGAATCAGCAATAAAGAAGTTAAGGTATTCCATCCCTAATAGCAACAGATTCAATGAAATTGAATACACAACAGAGGTGTAGGTGTTTAATATTCACTAGATTTTGACATAATATCCATTTATTACTATTACATGTAAGGGTGAAATGTGTCTAATTTTTGACCTTGACTTTTGGTAAGGGTTATCTCCCTCTGTTTTTAATCAATGGAAAAAAATCTATTATAAAAAAAACTTATCAGGTAAAAAAAAAAAAAAACGTTTTCAATTGTCGTTCTATTTCTGATGTTTTAATGCATCTTTCCACCACAGTATTTATAAATATTCATATTATTTGAATATTTATTTTTAAAAAGAAATCGCCTGTCCCATAGATTTCAATACAATTTTTGTTAATTAATTACTGCTTAGTTAATTAAATTTTTGAAACTATCTCTTGATAAATCCTTTTCTATTGTGAAATGCTTTTACATTGGAAATATCTTTAAAATCTTCTCAAGAACAATTTAGCCATTATTAGTCATATTTATACAGAAGTAACCTTATGTATTGTAGAATCAAATTTGTTCAAATCATGGGGGCACAACAGGGGGTCAGTTAGGTTTTGCATAAGAAAAAAAATATAGGAATCATCTTGAAAAAATCTTTTGCTCAATAACAGCAAAGCCATGATTAGTCATATTATTGTAGAAACATCCTCAGGAAGTGTTGATTCAAATTTGTTAAATTTATGGTGGGTAGTGTGGGAGCACAAAGAGAAATCAGAGTTTTGCATAGGAAAACATAGGATTGATTGAATGTATTTTGTTTTACGTCCCGTTCAAGAATTTTTCACTCATAAGAGACGTCACCATATACCGGTGAAGGGCTTCAAATTTAGACCTTTCCTCGGCTGAGTGCCGAGGGCCATTGAGCAGTGAGGGATCTTCATCGTGCCTACGCCTGCCGTAACACAGGGCCTCAGTTATTAAGGTCTCATCTGAATGACCCGCAACTTTCACTTCAAAGTGCTGAGCGCTTGGCGAAGGTACAGTCGCTACCTATTTTTCATCGACTTAGGTCAGTTGCGGCCGAAGCTCGAACCCCTTACCTTCCAATCACGGAGCGAGAGCTCTAAAGAATATTTTCCGTGAGGGTGGAAAACTTAGGAAAAAAATCTTTCAAATTCTTCTGTTTAAGAACAGCAAAGCCATGATTAGTAATATTGATATGGAAGCATCCTGAGGTAATTTAAATTAAAGTTTGCCCCCCTTTCCCCGTTCAATACTGAGCTGATTTCTACTTCTTCCTAGCCGATGAGCTCAGGTGAGCGATGTGGCCCATGGGCCTCTTGTTGTTAACTACCACCCGGTAAATTCAAAAATTACAATATAACAGTATTAACACCAGTGTGAAATTGTTAATTGTTCTTAACTCAATTCTTTTATAAGGGGTCTAAAGATATATCTATCGAAATCATGCTTTAAAACATCACCAAATTTTAAAATAGTACTCAGATTTTAAAATACTCATGGACATGGATAAATAATCCTTCATTTGTTCCATACGTTTAACTCATGTAAATTTATCTTTAAACATAACCCCCCCTCCCCCCCCCCCCGTGAAACAACAAGAGCTTTGGTATACATTTGTTAAATAATAATTCATACGCAGAAGAAAGGAAAGGGGGTGTTTTAAAAATATTTTCCGTTCATTTCTATAGTGAAAAAAAAAGGTTTACCAATATTATAGAGCTTAGGCATAGTTTCCGAATACTTTTGATTGTACTTTCATTAACATTTTTCCACAGCTTTTAAAAAATAGTTAAATGGTGGTTTTTATATTCATCCAATAGCGCATTTTGCTATTTTTGCGAGATGTTCTGGCAAATATTTTACATACTTGCCCCGTTTTATTTTTGCTGTAGCAGTGGATTCAACTTTTCAGCTTCCTCAATACACATACTTGTAATCCCGGCTAATCTGTAAAGGATTAGGTAATGAGGGAGAATTTGTTAGTTTATCCCAAGTTTTCCACTTTATCCAGTTTGATATAGATTTGTTCTTAGCTCTGTGATGACTTAAAACATGAATTTAACACGAACAAAGAAACCCGAGTTTCCAGTGTGTTTATTAAGAAGTTATTTCTATAAATATAGCAATCTGATAAAAATCGGCTGTTTGTTTCGCTACGTTTACGACGTACTACATTGTACTTTTGATATATATATATTTTTTTTCATTGTGACAGGTTTTTTTTTCATCTTTTAATCATAGAATAAAGGCTAACTGCGTTATCTATCCTGTCGCTTTAATAAAAATGCACTCGTCTTTTCCTTTCAAAGTACACCAAGTACTAGAAAAAAAAAATATATTTTATTTTCACTTTTAATAATAAATCTGAACATTAGAAAAGAGATAAGGATAATATTTAATTATTTGATTATTTATTCCTACTACATGTAGGACTGACACAAAATTTGACAGGGATTTCTGATACAATGGGTGCACGCAATCGGGGCGTTGGGCCAAAGACTATTAATACATGTATATATCTTTCAAAGCTATGGAAAAATCCTTTTATTACATGTTTATGGCTCAAAACGTGTCGTACATTAACTTTTCTTTGCAAATAATTCATTTTTGACAAAAATGAATCTGTTTCATATATCAAAAGAATCAGTTTGTTTTACACTGAGCTCATGAAGGATTTCATTGTGTATGTAAAACGTAAAATGACGTCATAGTGCATTTTGTTTGTTTTACTCGTAAAAAGTTCCAATATCCAACGACATATATCTCTGTAACTGATTCATGTACCCTATAATGTCCGGAAAAAAATAATCTAGGGAAAATTCCCAGCTTTCAGGTTATGGCATTCATTTTTTATTTTATTTTGTTTGTAATTAAGATAAAGCCAACAGAAGATAGCACAAAATCAGTCATTTATGCGTAGTTTAATCAACTTCCTGCAATGATATGCAATATTCAATTCAAGTTTATGATAATATCTCAACATCGCACAGAAAAACTTTAAGTAAAAAAAAAATGTTAAGTTTCTTCTCTAGTTTCAGAAAATATCAATTGTTTTGTTGTAACCCGAATATTAAGAAAACGCCGACAGTTAAATATCTGTAATGCTGAAAATGCGTGCAAATGCGTCTCTGGGGGTTAAAGTGTTAAAAAGATAGTTCATCACTTTAATTAAAGAACCGATTCTTAGAGCAAAACCTATAATACTCTTACCTTTATGACAATAATTGCCTTTCCAACCAGGAAAACATCCATTCTCACAAACTCCGTTTGTTCCATTACATCCTCTGCATGTATTGTTACACTCCTGAACACAATCTTCTCCAAAATATCCTTCAGTGCAAGCTTCATGACAAAAATTAGAAAAGAAAAATGAAATACACCTTTTTCTTAAGATTGCAAGTGAAATTACGTTTTTTAGTAGTGTACCATATTTGTTTAAATTGTTATTTTATATATGTATACATTTGCAAAAAAAAATCATTTCATTTATTTACTTCCATTGCAAAACTGTCCTTCAAATCCCTCGGAACAACCATTTAAACACGTCCCATTTATAGGAAGACATTCCTCAGAATCTTTGCAATGCCCGCAAGTCATACTACATTGCTCTCCAAAGAAGCCATCATCACATTCTGGAAATTAATCATTTGAAATTTTAAAGTAAATTTAATAGGTGAAAATAATGAACGGTGATCAATCTAAAAAAATCTATAAACAATACAAATATGAAAAGAGGGCTTATAACCCGAACCCCTGGATATTCCACAGGTGCGATCAAGTTTCCAGGAGGATTAAACATCCCCTGTTTTCTGGTTACATCCGCCGTGACACCAATGAATTGATCAAGAATAAAGAGCGTAGTCGAATATTTGCTTAGAAAATCATTATAAAGCCCCAAAAAATTACCAAATTCTGACTTCAAACGATCATATTGAAATCCCTGTAACATCAATTTATCAGTGAGTGGCATGCCTTGCTTTTAAATGTTGTCATACTAAGAGCAAGCTCTGACCAGTATATTCATTTAGTATTTTTTTATATAGACTTTATATTAAGGAGGGATTCTCGTCTGGTTTCTGACTAGATGAAATATTCAAAGTATATTTGCTTATATGTTTTATATATTTAGATGTAAGAAATTTAAAAGATCATATTTTTCTTTCCTCATCACAATTGTACAACTTAAAATAGAAATGGTAAACTGAGTTTGAAATCTAGCAGGGACTATATTTTTGGCGGAATGGCGGCGTATGAAAATATCTTCTTTTCTGCCTCTCAAAATAATTATAGAACAATGAACTTAGTTATGATTTTTACACAATCAAAGACTTGGAGAAAATTTTTAAATGTAAGTTAAATTAATAATAAGGGAGTACAGTTTTAAAATATATCAAATAAATATGATTTTCCAAACAAACTACAATTATGTTAGCTTTTAAAAGCTTCCAATCCAAGTTCAGATTTGAGCCAAAAATCCGTAAAAAGTGTTTTTTCTCTCTTAGTAAACTTTTTTGTTTTTAAATCATTTTGTATCTTTATGTGACAACTTTACCATATGTGAAAATAATAAGAAAAAAAAAATAAATATAGGAAGCATATAAAAACAACTAAAATATCTTAAAATTTTAAGAAAAATAGAGAAAATTCGGATTACCCAATATCCATTTTAGTTAAATTATTTATGTCAATTTGGTAAATCATCTTATTGACCCTATATGGTAATAGCTCTTTATGCAAAAAGAAAAACATTTAATTTATTGAAATAGAAGTAGGCATCACATGATTGGCAACAGTAATTTTTTATTCTTTATGTCCAGGGAAAAGGTACTGACCTTGACCTGACCTTGCCTCTAATATAAAACGGTCAAATTTAATCTAACTAACATCATTACTTACTGATATTGTCTCCTTGATTCTTGAAAATTTCATTGATTTTTAAAATAAGAAAAAAGTGTTCTTATGAGAAGAACCCCTCCTTAAATAGAAAAAAAAAAGTGCATGGAAGATGAAAGGTTGAACCCGATTTCGAAGAAAATAACAGGATTTAAAAATCTCCTTGTCCCATGTTAATTTCTTTCAAATTAAAGTTTTTTTCCCTTTTATATATGCAAGACTTGTACAAATATTTAATATTTATGTTGGACTTTACAAGATTTGGAACATTCGACAATCAGCCTCTTAAATATTTATATTGCTTAATGTATGGATTGTTCATATCGATCAAACTATTTCACAAACCCCGAATGAAATAGGGCTTTGATAAGATTTTTTTTCAGGATCTCCTGCGCTGTGTTATAAACATAAATCATTTTCTTGGTCACCCTCATTATGTGCATGCACAATGATATCTAACGTAAAGGTGATGACATTAATGTAAATATTCTATATGTTTGCGCTATAATGACTGTGAAGTACTGTATTGAAATGTACGTTATCTTTGAATTAAACACATTGATGTGGATTGCATACAACTTCTTCTGCTTCAGCAATTTCATGTAGCAGAATTATTTAAAAAAAAATAATTGGGATTTGCTTACAGGCCCTCACCTTCATTGCAGAATTCTCCTTGCCAACCAGGATGACATCCATTGTCACAGATACCATTTGTTCTGTTGCATCCTTTACATGCACTGTTACAGGTTTCTAGACAGTTTCGTCCAAATGTTCCTATCCTGCATGCTGTAAAACATCTTATTATTTGACTAAATGGTATTTTCACATGTATTTGCAATAAAGGCGAAAAACTGAAATAAATACTTATAATGTTTCAAAATACGGATTTAAATTATTCCAGCATATCTTACTTTCATTGCACAATATCCCTCTAAAACCCTCATCACAACCATTTTGACACGTCCCATTATTTGGGTGACATTGCTCGGACCTCAAGCAAATTCCACAAACCCTGCTGCAATTATCTCCATAAAATCCATTGTTACATACTAAGATTTAAAAAGAATATTATCAGCAGTGCAAATGTATTGACTTTAAATTTTACTTGTGTTTTTTTTTTTTTTTTTTTTTTATAATAACGATTTTTTTCTTGAAAGCACCCGAGGAAAGTAAACTCTGAGATTGTGACTTTGTAAAAATTGTGGAATATTTACCTTGATGGCAGTACGTTCCCTTCCAACCAGGGTGACATCCATTTTCACAAATGCCATTCGTTCGGTTACATCCCTTACATGTATCGTTACATGTACTGGCACAATTTTCTCCGAAATATCCGTGACTGCATGCTTAAAGGATAAGAAAGTTTTTGAATAAGCTTATTCTGCTTTGTTAATTTAATAATATCTTTTTGAAATGCATTTATTCCATTACTTTATGCTTGATATACCTTTGTTGCAAAACTCTCCTTCATATCCCCTAGAACATCCATATAAACACGAGCCATTTATTGGGTTACAATCTTCTGACTCCTTGCAATATCCACAAGTCATGTTACAGTTTTCGCCAAAGAACCCATCATCACAGTCTTCAGTGATAAAAAAATGACAGATATTATCAAAGAGCATATTGAAACTCGCTATTAACCAGACAAAATTCCATGATCAAATGATCCATTTGGACACCTTGGTCATTTTTGTCTTGCTGTTCAAGAAACTTATAAATCCCCTACTCCTCTTCACATGAAAAAGAATGCTCCCATATTGTTGAACAAATGTAGTTCCAGGAGGTCATGATATATTTAAATTTGAATTTACATACATGTACCCTGGGTATGAATTATTAACCGAGTAAGATTACCCTTCCTGTTCCCAAATGATTTTACCCTATATACCTGTACATACGCAATGTAAAAATATATCCCTGTGTTTGGCATAAAGTAAAATATCAATTCTCTATTTTGCCTCCATCATACTTCTGCCCTTATCATTTAAACAAATTTACAAATGTATTTACAATATAAGTTTGCTCGCATATTGATAAGATAAACATGACTTTGTTTCTTAAAAGATTACAAAGATGTTTACTTTTGCTTTGCACAATCCCATATAAAATATTTATCCACGATTGTGGTTTCATCCTATCTCCAAGGGCAACCGATGATCCAAATAGAATTTCCCTTACCTGACGATGCTCGCATATTTATATCTTTATTTGCACTAGCTGGATCAGTTCTCAATATTTCTTTTCAAACTATTGATTCCTTATTATGGTCAAACTCTAACGTAATGGGCTATGATTCCAAAGAGTACTACCAAAAATATTTACATCATGATATCATTTATCATATCCTTATGACGTTGAAAGATATATTTAAAAAAAAAAAAATGTTTATCTTCATATAACCCTTGGTCCAAGAAGTAACAGTTCGAAGAATTTTTCTTTCCATACATAAGCTTTTAAAGGATGCTTATATTTTTAAATTTGTAATCAGAGCTTTTAATTTTGATTTTTTTTTTTTACCCATTACATTCACATTTAAATCTGCTTCTTCTAAATGTACCGTTGCCCCATTTTCTCCAAAAGTTGGCGATTTTGGGCAAACTGCATCTGTATTATCTGATAATTCTGAAGAACCTTTGGGCAAAGTGAACTGAATAAAAATCAATGCAGCAATACCGATAAACTCTAGGATTTTTTAAATATTTTTATTTATTTATTTATTTATTTTTGGTAAATTGCTTACCTTCATGACAATAATCTCCCTTCCATCCTGGATGGCATCCGCTGTCACATTTACCATTTGTTCTGTTACATGTAGAACCATAACATGTTTTGTTACATATCTTCATACAGTTTCTCCCAAATCTTCCAATTTCGCATGCTGAAAGTATAACATTTTGTAGCAAACATTAACTCTATATCTGTTGACACATTTTTTAAATACTAACAATTTTATCAAGAAACTGTAAATCTGTCTTTTACGTCTTACTTTCATTGCAGAGAGTCCCTTGATATCCTTCATCACAACCGTTCATACATGTTCCGTTAATTGGATAACATTGCTCTGAGCTTACGCATTTCCCACAAGGCATGCTGCAGTTAATTCCATATAATCCACCTCTGCATTCTATAACAATTAAAATTCACAATCAATACCACTTTTGTCTTCTGAATACCTCATAGTCTTTTCAGAGAAGTCAGGGCAATAGCTTAATTTATTCTCTAAGAAAATTCCATTAAAAAAATGTCGAGGAAAACTGTTCTGGTAAAAATAATCATACAAAAGCTTGAATGTTCTTTTATCATGAAATGTCGATTTATTTTATCAGTCATTGGTTTTCTTCTTAAGCCACGTTAGGAACTTAAAAAAATAAAGATAAATGAATGCCTAAATCAATAAATAAACAAATGGAGAAAAAAAGGGGAAAAATATCTAATAATCATCGAACACTAAATTGTAGTATAGAAGAAACATAGACAGAAACATGATACAGTCGGAGATTTTGTGAGTATGTTTTTTATTAAGGTTTTCCGTTCCAGACGGAAGACCTTATAGTGATTGTACTGTTTATTAAGGTCTTCCGTTCCAGACGGAAGACCATATAGCGATTGTACTGTTTATTATTTTTTTTTTTTTCCCCCCTTTTTTTGTCGGCAGGATTTCTCAGAGATGTCTGGATGGATTTTCCTGAAATTTTCAAGGTTGATAGAGAATGAAAATACCCCGAGGCGTTTTTTTTCATTTTTTTCAAAATTCACTTCCGGTCGTCAGATATTTCCGATTTCCGTTTTTTCAAAATTATTTTTTCCGAGTGAGATCTCAGAAACGGTAAGAGATTAAAACACCAAACTTATACGAGTAATAGATCATGAGGAGTAGGCGAGCCCATTTGGGTTAAGCGTGTCAGCCATCACTTCCGGTCGTCACAGGAAGTGATGAAAGAAATCGAAAATTTTAACTTTTCTTTTTTGAATTAATTTTGGCAACACATTATTGCATCTCATGTGTAGTTTCGAAATATGTCAGTCCCACCGGAAACAAAAACGACAACTTCCGGTTAGAAGAGGAAAACTACAGAATTTGAGTAATTTACTTTCCCTTAAATGTCTTTTATAGAAAAAGTATTTGAAAAGATTTTTAGATATGTTATTCAGACTGCAGATGTCTAGAGTAACGTCAAAAATTTTAGTAAAATTCACTTCCGGTCGCGTGTTTTTCCTGTCCTCAAAATGAAAAGTTATCTCAGCGAGATCTCGGAAACGGCATGAGATTAAAACACCAAACTTAAAAGAGTAATAGACCTTGAGGAGTAGGCAAAACACATAGGGTTAGACGCGTCAGCCGTCACTTCCGGTCGTCACAGGAAGTGATCAAAAAATCGAAAATTTCAACTTTTCTTTATAAAATTAAAACTTGCATCACTTTGTTGCATCTCTTTCGTGTTTTGAAATATGTTAGATTCCACCGAAAACAAAAACTGTAAACTTCCGGTTTAAAGAGATAAACTACGTTATTTCGATGTTTAGCTTTCTCATAAATATCACTTACAGATAGGTATTTGATATGTTTTTTTATACATATGCTGTAGATAATACAAATGTCATGAGAAAATTCAGAGATTTTTATTCAATTCACTTCCGGTCGTGTGTTTTTCTGTCCCCAAAATTAGAATGTGTTCTCACAATTGCTCGGTAAGAGTAAAAGACTGAAGTCTAAAACTTTCAGGAATTATAGTCAGTCATCAGTTCATTTGCATCGTGTAAAAATCGTCTGTCGTCATTACTTCCGGTCGTGATAGGAAATGAAGAAAAAAGTATTTTTTTAAAGTTATTTTGTTTCTACATAAGCTTTAGGCTCATACCGACGTTGGAAAAGACATGTTTATGCAAACAGGAAGTAGTATAACGGAAGACCTTCTCATTACTAGTAATGAGTTTCTAGTTATTATTAAGGTCTTCCGTTCCAGACGGAAGACCTTATAGTGATTGTACTGTTTATTATTATTATTATTATTATTATTATTATTATTATTATTATTATTTTCCCCTTTTTTTGTCGGCAGGATTTCTAAGAGAAGACTGGACGGATTTTCCTGGAATTTTCAGGGTTGATAGAGAATGAAAATACCCCGAAGCGTTTTTTTCATTTTTTCAAAATTCACTTCCGGTCGTCAGATATGTCCGATTTCCGTTTTTTTCAAAAATATTTTTTCCGAGTGAGATCTCAGAAACGGTTAGAGATTAAGACACCAAACTTATACGAGTAATAGATCATGAGGAGTAGGCGAGCCCATTTGGGTTAAGCGTGTCAGCCGTCACTTCCGGTCGTCACAGGAAGTGATCAAAGAAATCGAAAATTTCAACTTTTCTTTTTTGATTTTTTTTTTTGCATCACATTATTGCATCTGATGTGTAGTTTCGAAATATGTCAGTCCCACCGGAAACAAAAACGACAACTTCCGGTTAGAAGAGGAAAACTACATAATTTGAGTAATTTACTTTCCCTTAAATATCTTTTGTAGATAAAGTATTTGAAAAGATTTTTAGATATGTTATTCAGACTGCAAATGTCTAGAGTAACGTCAAAAATCTTAGTAAAATTCACTTCCGGTCGCGTGTTTTTCCTGTCCTCAAAATGAAAAGTTATCTGAGCGAGATCTCGGAAACAGCATGAGATTAAGACACCAAACTTAAATGAGTAATAGACCTTGAGGAGTAGGCAAAACACATAGGGTTAGACGCGTCAGCCGTCACTTCCGGTCGTCACAGGAAGTGATCAAAAAATGGAAAATTTCAACTTTTCTTTATAGAATTAAAACTTGCATCAATTTGTTGCATCTCTTTCGTGTTTTGAAATATGTTAGATTCCACCGGAAACAAAAACTGTAAACTTCCGGTTTAAAGAGATAAACTACGTTATTTCGATGTTTAGCTTTCTCATAAATATCACTTAAAGATAAGTATTTGAAATGTTTTTTTTTATGCATATGCTGTAGATACTACAAATGTCATGAGAAAATTCAGAGATTTTTATTCAATTCACTTCCGGTCGTGTGTTTTCCTGTCCCCAAAATTAGAATGTGTTCTCACAATTGCTCGGTAAGAGTAAAAAACTGAAGTCTAAAACTTTCAGGACTTATAGTCAGTCATCAGTTCATTTGCATCGTGTAAAAATCGTCTGTCGTCATTACTTCCGGTCGTGACAGGAAATGAAGAAAAAAGTAATTTTTTTAAGTTATTTTGTTTCTACATCAGTTTTAGGCTTATACCGACGTTGGAAAAGACATGTTTATGCAAACAGGAAGTAGTATAACGGAAGACCTTCTCATTACTAGTAATGAGTTTCTAGTTATTATTATTATTATTATTATTATTATTATTTTATTTTTACCTTCATGACAGAATTCTCCTCTCCAACCAGGATAACATCCATTATCACATATACCAGTTTCCCTATTACAGCCGAAACATGTATCATTACAGCTGTTGACACAATTTTCTCCAAAGAATCCATAAGTACATGCTAGGGGAATAGAGAGAAAAAATGTATTACATTTTTAGGTTATTTGCTAAATTTTAACATTTATAACTTTTGGACGTACGCAGGTAGGTTAAGGCTTCCCGTAGAATATGACAGTGTACTCTGTGCCTTCACATCTCTTAACTACCAAAATATGACGTCATAATGGAAAATGACGTCAGGTCACTACAAACTTGAGGTGTTATGACGGGGAGAGTGTCATGAACTTTACACTTTATTTCAAACTGCATGTAAAATGTTAGATAGCTATTGCAAAATTCACGGGTCGTGAAAGGTTTTTTAAGTCTTATATGTCCGAATATTTTAAAAATACACCGCTTACCTACCCTTGATTGAAATTCATCATGTTCAAAATGCTTATGAAAAATATACTTTTGAAATGTACTCTGTTTTATACCCGTGGTTGGAGGTAGAATTTATTTTGTGTGTATAAAAGAGTCTGGCGCAGGTGATTAATGAGGATTAATCTAAGAATTTTTGTGGAAATCTGTAAGAAGAGGTTCTTCTCTAACTGAATCTTGCTTGGGAAAAATGTGTGTTGGCTTTGTTTAAATATAGATTACGATATTGTGTGGAAAATACCCTCAAATTTGTAGGTTAGTTGAATTTCTCAGGAAATATTTTGTACCCAAGTAATACTATGACTTTTCCCAAACACATTTCGGATACACAAGGATACGATGAGTTTATTTATATAACAAAATGTTAATAATTATTGTGTTAATCAGCTGCGCCGAAGCGATTTATATGAAACACTTCAAAAATTATAAATGACCGTCACGTGATCAAAAAAGTCATGTGATATCATAACAAATATGCTAATATATAGCCGAGGAAACCCTTCATATAAATTGGAAGTACTAAAGTTCAATACTTATAAATTAAAACCAAAACAGACCTCGCAATGACATATTATGTTTTGAGCGCATTTTAAAGCTTCGGGAAGCCTTAACATAGCTGCGTTAGACAGTGAAACTTATCTTATTCGGATGTTATGTCTTATGGAATGATGTTTTTTCCGATTAATTTCTTTTAAAACCGTGGTGACGAAATTATACAACTTTAACTTTATATGATTTTTCTCATTTTCTTTCATATTTACTTTCGTTGCATAATCGTCCTTCAAATCCTTCAGAACAACCATTTAAGCACGATCCATTTATTGGATGACATTCATCTGGTTTTCTGCACTGTCCACAAGAGGCGTTACATTGTTCGCCAAAAAATCCATGTTCACATTCTGGAATTATTAAAATTCTTAATTGTCAAATAAAGTGAAAAAAGAAATATATGCTCATGCACATTGTTTGAATTGCAAAAAAAAAAAAAAAAAAAAAAAAAATCATAGGGCATGTTGATTTAATCATGATTAATCGTGTGATTAGTGTGTAACATGTCAAGAATACCATTTCAGCCAATACACTGTTCTGATTGTATAAGCACACTTATGACTCTCAGATATATTTAAATAAATCAATTTATACAAATACCTTCATGACAGTAATCACCCGTCCATCCTGGATAACATCCACTTTCACAAATTCCATTTGTTGCGTTACATCCATAACATGTACTGTTACAGGTCTCCAGACAGTTTCTTCCAAATGTTCTGTTTTTACAGGCTGTAAGCCATACGAACGCTCTAGTGATAATTTTCATACAATTTGGAGAAAATGCCAAGATATAAACAAAATTACGGAAAAGAAATAATATTTCAAATTCCAGTATGACTTACTTTCATTACAAAAGTTCCCCTTATATCCTTCCTCACAACCATTTATACATGTCCCGTTGATAGCGTGGCATTGTTCTAAGACCATACAGTGTCCACAAAGCATGCTACAATTATTTCCGTAAAATCCGCTGTCACATTCTGAAATATGGTATGAAAAAAGAAGAAAAAATATAAAAGTAGAAACTTTTTTCAAAGTCTTTTTTTTTTAAGTTTATAAGAGGAAAAGCCTTCGGTGATTGATATTCTTCATTACAGTGTCAAGCTTTGTGCTCGAGTTCCTCTTCACAAATCCTTCACAATTAAGACATTGGACAACAGTTTATGCAGTCGTATTTGGAAAATTGAAAATCACTCTCAACGAGACGATTTAAATTGCGATTCAATATGATTTAAACCGGCGACGCAAAGATCAGTGGACATTTTCACAAAAATTCTTACCACATATTTTTATCTTAAGTGAAAGGTTATGATAAAAATCTTTTTCACAAAAGAAAAAAAAAAGAAAAAAGAAAGTAGTAAGTGCAAAATGTGTCGTAACTTTACGAGAGCCCCAACCCACTCTTAAGTATTTTAAACACGATTTTATTGTGAAAATATAACCGCAAAAACCAAAATACATGTTACATTGAACTGTTTAAAGCAACTTCCAATAATACTTTATTTTTTTTTTCACAATAATTGTCGAAAAATTAAATGAAATACATTACAAAATATTTATGATGTAAGTTTCACTTAAGATTTTCGTATGACCTACTTTTACGTCAGATTTGTTATTGAAACGTCAGATTTTAAACTTCCTTCCTTCACAAACGATTGTATTCGATATTTGTAGTCAATAATGCTTGTTATGCTGACAAATGTTGAAAACTAAGTTTTATTTTTATTTTCACCCACATACAGTGTATTGAAGTCGTTGCTAGGGATGAAGTCTGTCGTAAGTAAAATCTGAAGTTCAATCTGCTACGAATGCATTCGTGAAAAACACTTAAGATTTGTCGTAAGAGATTTTTAAGTTAAAATTTTACACAAAAACTTCAATTTTTTGTGAAAAGGAATATAGTTCTTAAGTTTAGAATATAAAAGCTCAATTCTAACTAATGTAAACTTTGATTTATTGGTTTACATGTAATAATAGTAACATCCTAATGGTAACATAAAACTCGCTTACCTTGGTGACAGTAATCTCCCTTCCATCCTGGATGACATCCACTGTTACATTTACCATTTGTTCTGTTACATCCATAACATGTGCTGTTACAAACATCCAGACAGTTTCTTCCAAATGTTCCGCTCTGACAGGCTGCAAACCATTCATATTTGTTACCAAATGGGATTCATTTACGTATTTGGGGACATGCCACGAACGGAATTATAACAGTCTTTAGGAGAAAAATGAAGATAAGAGTTTTCTACATGTCTTACTTTCATTGCAGAACACCCCTCTATATCCCTCTGTGCAACCATTTATACATGTCCCGTTCATTGGCTGACATTGCTCTTTGTTTAAACAATTTCCACAAATCATGCTGCAATTATTCCCATACATTCCCCCGTCACATTCTGGAAAATAACATTACCAAAAAGCTAGTTTTTGCCTTCATATCTATTTATTAGGTATCTTTCCCTGAGATTGTACAATGGATTAGTCGTGTTTATCCACTGAAGTGCATTTTGTTTGAGAATAGGAAAAAGAAAAGAAAAAGTAGAATTTTGTGCAAATCTATCTGATCTTTCTTTTTAGTAATTATTGATTGAAATTCATAAAATGGAATTAAGCATTTTAGTTTACCTTGTCAGAGAAAATGCCTTATTATACATCATTCAAACTATGATTACATAAAAAACTAATGCAAAACGACCACAGAAAGAAAATGTGAATAGATTCCAAGATCTTACTTTTATGACAGTATTCCCCTTTCCAACCCGCATGGCATCCATTTTCACAAACACCGTTTGTTTTATTACATCCTTTACATGTATAATTACACATGTGGACACAATCTTCTCCATAATATCCGTCTGCACAAGCTTAAAGATGAATATGATATGTTTTAACGCTGGCTATTTTATAGATGCACCAATTTTTTTAAGATATGATGTGAATTTAGATGACAATTTCTTGTAGCAATATGTATTGTTAATTCTTATATACTTTTATTGCAGAACTGTCCTTTATATCCCCCGGAACATCCATGCATACAAGTTCCATTGATTGGATGACATTCATTCGATTGTTTGCAATGTCCACAAGAAAAACTACATTGCTTTCCAAAGAATCCATCATCACATTCTGTGACCAATTGAATAAACAGACACATAAATTAAAAAGAAACAGAACCTTAACAAGTTTTATTTGAAATTAGATACGAAATATTAGTTAATGTATATTCAAAAATACTCCAAAGGAAAGAGTATGTGATCCTATTGCGCATTCATCAGAATATCTTAAAATGACTCTAAATTAACATAATTTGCTTGCTTGGTTTAAAGATCATTTGATGTCCATCATACATTTAATGGTAAACGGATCTTAAGGAACTCCACATCTACAATATAATAAAAATGTAATGAGTTTTTTAAGTAATGTAAAAAACGTACCTTGCTCGCACCAATTACCCTTGTACCCAGGCGCACATTGTGGACATTTTCCTGAGTCTATCTGACAATATTGTAGGCAGTTTGAAGAACATTGATGTGAACAATCTGAACCATAACGTGTAGGATCAGAGCAACCTTTAAATAATATATATATTAATACTTATCTTTTTCAGCAAAAAATGGTGATGGTTCATTTTTTCTATCAAAATGTTTATTTTATGAGTGCTATATCACCCAACAATCACTCAGGTGTAATATAATGTACATGCAATCTTCAAGATGTTTTTTCAATGTTAAAGCAGATCTTGAAGTATATTAAAAGATTTTTTGCGTTCTCTTACACTTAATATATGTGTAATTCCCATAAAAAATGTATTATAAAATGGTCAACTTTTCTTTTTTATATCGAAAATAGTAATGCAAATCAACTTTTATTTTTAGAAATATATATATATATATATGATTTTTATTTGGCACTTACCAAAAACCTCCACCTCGCAAAGCTCGGTGAATGCATATTGCGAATATCCAGATGGATAGCTGACACCCTGAAGTCTTTCGTTATAGTAGATGACGTATTGTCCATATACAGGACAGCTTATGTTGGCAACGGCGGGTATCGTGGACCTGGTGTAGCTTGTATCGTGAAAACACAAAGTGCCATCCAATCTGTTTGTTGTATTTGAAATATACACATAAAATCCAAGAAATCTTGTTGTGTAACCATTTCCGGAATCTGAAATTTTCATTTTTTTTTTCATTGAACATTGATGGTTTTAGTCACCTAAAAACTAGAAAATTGATAGAATTATAAAATTGTCTAATAATGCATGTTGTACATACTTGTACGCCAACACCTTTATCTTTAGTTTTCCATTTGATTTTTTTTTTCATATTCCGTTAAAATATATATACATGCATATTATCATGAAATGCTATGTCATTCAATTAATTGAAAGTTATCTGAAATTTTCCCAGAATTGAATTTCAAGACCTTTCAGTGAGCTTTTTTTTTCAATTTAAACAATAGTTTGTTGACTATGAAGCAAATACTTATAGCAATGTATATTTTTTCTCATTGAAAATTTATTTAAAGTTTAGTATGTAGATTTGTTTTTGATATATATTAAATGTCAATATCGCCAATTGAAATCAAAGGGCTTTATGTCTATGTCAGCGTTTTAATACATGTAGATTTCATTGTGTCTGACGTCATGATAAGTGGACGGGGCTAGGTGAATAAAAATGAATGATTTCTGCATTTTTCTTTATCAGACAATTTTAAATATATATATATATTCATATTTTTACATAAATGTATAAATGTCAATATAATAGGAATCAATGTAGAGTTTGTTTGATTTGTCATAAATACTTATAGACAGTTTAAATGGGGTAATTTGATTTTCCACATACGGTACCGTCATAAACTTTCGTTAATACCATAGTATGCTCAGCAATCTCAAATGTGATTCCTTAAAACATAATTTTATAGATATCTAACCATTTTTTGTTTCAAATGAATATCTCAATGTTGTTAGTACAGAGAGGAAAATGGGGCGTTTGTTTTAACTCATTATGTTTTTCCCCCCTTTAAGGTTGCGATATACTAAGCAGATCTAGAAATTATAGTTTAAATTGAAATAATTTGTGAAATATTTGTTTTTTAACTTCATGTCAAAAATCGTGACACGAGATCCTTGCAGAGGTACCTGAGTGAGGAAGGATCAACTACTCTGCAAGGGAGATTGACGTACCCCAATATGCATTGTCAGTTCTGTAAAAAATGACTATGAAGTTTATGCCACGGATTTCTTCTAGGTTCACCCACCACGTGGCAGTATATTGTTCATTACTTGATACGCTGCATTGTTTTCCAAAATAAGAAAGATCTGATTTCCGACCATCAACAGCTCTTGATGAACCGCTATATGCAGAGTCATGAGTTGAGCTTTGCCATGTGGGTTTGAGGTATGCTAAGTTTTCTGAAAAAAAGGATTTATAGATATATAAAAAAAAAAAATGACTAAATGAAAAGCATGTAGTAAATAAAATGCAGAAAAAGGATTTTTAAATAATGCATATTAAGCTTTCTCCCGTTTGAAATGTTTGACTGAAATATTGTGCATGATTACTATTGTATTCAAATTTGGTGGAAAGATCTTACTTATATGATTTTTAAGTCGCAATATACGAAAATAAAGAAATGACAGTAATTATAATTAAATGGTTGTGTATATTTCTTCCCAGTTCTTTTAGCTGAGCATAAACGCGTGTATTAAAATGAGGAAACAGTTCAAATCATCTAGTTGTTCTGAACAAAAAAAAAATGCTAAAACATGACGAGGAAGTTATTTCATTAGAAACGAAAGAGAAAGTTCCAATTAGATCATTTTTTTTAAATTGTATGATTCTTATTCTGTTCTTGTTGATGAGAGCTCAAGTTTCAAGTCTCTTATCTCTAGAGTTTTCGAACATTTGACCCTATTCTCTATTTAAATAAAATCTTGAGTGTGACTGTTTGATTCTACGGTATCTGCACCTACATTTTATTAGACCCCTATCGGTGAAACCGGAGGGGACTATAGGTTTCCTCTGAGTCTGTCCGTCCGTCTGTCTGTCTATCTGTCTAGTTGTCCCTCTGTCCGTCTGTCTGTCTGTCTGTCAGTCTGTCCCACTTGGTTTTCCGCACTTTTTTCCTAAACGCTTGCAGATATTGAGCTGGTTTTTGGTATGTGAGTGTATCTTGATGAGTTACAGATCAAGTTTGCATTTCGTTCCGCGTCATTGATTTTTGACGGAATTACGGCCTTTTCAATTTTTACGGGTTTTCCGCAATTTTCTTCTAAACGCTTGTAGATATTGAGCTGATTTTTGGTATGTGGCTTTACCTTGATTAGTTATAGATCAAGTTTGCATTTCGTCCCGCTTCATTATTTTTTGACGGAATTATGGCATTTTCAATTCTTAACGGGAACCAGATTACACTTGCCGGTAGGGGACTAGTATTGCTAATGCAATGCTCTCAGAATGCTTGTTCAATATTGAAGAATCTCATATAATTTTAAGACACTATATGGTAGCACACATATTTCAGCGCAGGATACACCGAAAGAAAATCGTTTTAAAAGATCTGTGAATTGTAAAAAATCTCTTTCAGAAACTTTTTTGTGCAATCTTTTCACTTTAACATATTTCTATATCCCCCAGCTGATTTAAGTGGGTTTCGTTTCTAAAATTTTTACATGACGACGCTTTAATCCACGTATGTTCTTATCACAACCACTTTTATAACACAACTCCTTATCGTTAATGGCATTTATATGTATTAGTTGACCAGTTACATAGTGTCAAAACTACACTGGGTAAGATAATGCTCACCACCATTAAAGTGTTTATATTTAAGGAATCACTGTTTAGTTAGTAGAGTATGCCAGGGCATCAACGATAGTTGGAAAAGTGGGATAATATGCATAACGGGCGAAGCCCGTTATGTATAAATTATCCCACGTTTCCAACTATCGTTGATGTCCCTGGCATACCCTACTAACTAAACAGTGATTCCTTATATTTTCATTTCATTGTGAAATAAAATTGTAAATTTAGATTTTAAAAGTGTAGACTAATAGATTTAAATTACACCAGGCCTCACATGTCAATTTCAATAGACCCCGCCCACTGACGTCAAACACGTAGACAGCCGCACAAGAATTACATGCCATAGAAGGCCTTCTTAGCTCCTGACCTATCGCTCGGCGAAATTTACATTCCGGTAGAATGATCAAGAAATCAACTCAACTAACTTTCAAAGAGTTACCACAGAGAAAACAAATAGAAATGGAAATATTATTGCTTTAAATTTGGATCATATATTGACAAACAAGTTGTTGGAAAAAAAATATATCAGCAGTCTCGTTTAAAGTCATCATTTAGTAAGTTCTATGGTCGATACAATGACCCTTTCATCAAATACAATTTATCATTAAGTCAAATGCTGATTGACTTTTTTCACACTAATTGTTAGGCCATTATTTACACACTGAATTGTCGACGGATTTTCCCGTTATTTCCCGATCATGACAAGGAGCATACGGCGGGTGTGACCGGTTGGCAGGGGATGCTTACTCCTCCATGGCACCAGATCCCGACTCTGATGTCTTAGAGGTCCGTTTTTGCTCTGCTCTTATTTTGTAATGTTTAATGAACTTTTGAGTTCGAATAATGTTCGTTATCTCCACACATTTCATAATACATACATAAATTTTGATCATTTGAAATAATACATGCACATGTACCATACTTGTTACGGTATATTTTGTCGTTTTGTAAATATTATCCTCTGCGACAATATGCACATATCACTCAAATATGGCCTCAAATCGACACATATTGTCGAATGCTGTAAAATGTTCCATGTGAAAATTGACACTGGCGGCATAAAGTGCCTAATTTCACCTGCCCCACAGTTATAGTTGTTTGAGAATATTCTGATAGTTTTGTGAAAATACTTGCTGCTTAAATCATACAGAGGTCTTTTAGGCTTTATTATATACATACATATTGACCGCCAAGACAACGTGTACCTATGATCGCTGCAGTAATTGCCGTGTATCAATACACTTTGTCGCAAGGTGATGAAATTATAAATATAGCTATAGCCTCGGGCAAATATATGCCGATGCCATAAATTCGTTGATAAAGAAAAACATGCCATGTAAATTGGCTGACGTATTTCATGCCTACTGTTAGGCCTTTGTTTTCATACTGAATTAGTTTAGGGAATGTTCGGTCTACCTATCAATTTAGGATTAGCGGCGGATGTGACGGATCAACATGGGGATGCTTTTTTTTTTAGATCGATCATTGTTAATTATTTTCAAGATTTTTAAATATATATGGAAGCATTCTGAGGCAGTGTATAATCAAATATGCTAAAAAAAGGAAAAAAAGGAAAGAAAAAAAAAAGAGAGGTATAAGACGCCTGAATGAGGGCTGGATTACCTTTGGAGATCGCTTTTACAACTGAATATATACAGGAAATGACTTTAGAGATATTCTTCTCAAGAACAGGAAAGCTATTATTACTGATATTTATATGGAAGTATTCTCAGGTACATTATATTTTACGGTGAAATGTATAGAAACAATTTGATGAGGGAAAATAGCAGGGTTATAGTTATTTATATGAGCGCTGTGGCACTGGGCCCTTGTTTCTCGTGTAAGCTGTTTTGTCATAGAAAATATATAATAGCATACAAAATATATGTTACAATGAGAAAAAGGCCTCATCTTTAATAGAATAAGATACGAGATAGTGTAAGAAATCAGCATATCTCCATTCAACACACCTCCATGAAAACCTTTTTACAAAATCAATAAACAAATAAAAATAAAAAAAAAATAAATACAAAATGATATTATTCTTACCGTATGCCTGAGAATACATCAGAACACAAACAAGGACATACAATACATACATGGCTGTCTTAACCCCTGGCTGTAGTATAGTGTAAACAAGGAAGAAAAACTTAGACAGAAGAAGATTATGTCCTTACTTAAATACTATTAAATATCCGAATTTAATACTCAGTTCAAAGGGTAAGTGGATCCAATTCTGATTTTGATACATACTGTGTATATTTATTTTCATAAAGTTCATTTACTTACAAGGACATTTCCCGGAGTTTGTTAAGAAGGTGAACCTGAAACACTTTATACGTATTCATTATAAATTACAAATAATGGGGGAATATATATTGAATTTTCAACAGTTACATACTGTATTTTCTTTTGATTCAATCTTAGTACAGACTTAACCTGCCAAAGGTTCTCCACTTATGTTGTTGAAAGCGAGATCAGCAATAATTTCAATCTCTCAATCGCTAAGCTTTGACGATCTAACCGTTCAACTATGACTTCAAAACCACTATGATACGAAACACCATGTAAAAAAAAAAGAATTCAATAATCCGCGTATCCTTTATATATCTTTATAAAATTGCAAGGTTGCCGGGTTTTTTTTTTTTAGGGGGGGGGGGGTTCTTTTTTTTTTAATCAGAAGATTCTGTTTCTGACACTTTCCTGCTGCTACACAAAATCTCATAAATTAAACAAAGAAATTTATTATTCTGTAATCAAAAGTGAACGACATATGATTAGACGCCCCGTAAAACAGTCGATATTGGCGCATTGACATTTAGTCATAAGCGCCACACATAGGTCAAAGCTTGTGGCCCTTCACCTATGAGCTAGAGAGAAATTCTCGAGTGAGACGTAGAATAGATGCAATTAATCAATCAAAATTCCTTAATGAATGAAAAAAGAAATGTTATGGTTTGCAAAATTATGTACGCTCGTTGAACGGACATGGAATGCAGGACTCAAGCTGGGAGAGATAGTAGACTCAAGGTATACAAATTATTTCCTCTTTATTGTATGGACTTTGAATTAATCAGGTGTCAAGGTGTTCTATGAAGATGTAGACATTAAAATTACCTAATGAAAATGGTGAAGATAACGAACAGTGGTTGATCTAAAAAATGTATACAAAGAATACAAGTAGGTGAGCTAGGCATAAAACACGGACCTCAAAATTTTCCAGGCATAACAGAAATAGGAATCCCTTATTGACCGGTCACACCAAATTATAAGGTTTTTGTGGAAATCTGGTAGGCGGAATATTCTGCAGTCAAATAAAGTGTATTCTATTACATGTAGAACAAAAATAAAATATTACAAACAAGTTGACCTCCGCTTCTCAATTGTAAACTTTACTAATAAATGTATTAATAGTCCTTTAGCACATAAATATCAAATCAATATTGTTTTCTTTTAAATTTCATTTTTAATTTGAGACAAAACATAAAAGACCTTCATAAACATTAGATTCAAAATGACTTAAAGTTGATATATCTTTAAAGACTGACAAACAAGTTGAAGGCCAGGGTTAACATGTGTGATGGGAAGTTTCAGTGTAAAGTTATTTATAATTTTTCGAAAGACAGAAACTTATTTATCCACAGGCTTATGAAAAATAACAACTAGCTTTTGTTTTTTTTTTTTTATTATTATTATATTGATTTATCATTTTATTATTTGAAAAAGCATATTAAATCACAATATTTGAAAAGAATCCTGCCGAGTAATTAGAAGCACATCTTGTGTCAGGAATAACGTTAGATATCTTTGACTTGACGCAGTACAACTCATCCAGAGGGTTAAATCCATTAGTTTAATAATTGCAAATATTTGTCAGTTCTTGCCCCTTACGATGATATAGGTGGCGCACGACACGTTTCGGTTCATAGTTACTTCCGGTTTCGCTTCGATTTCGATAACATCAGAGTAGTCATAATAAATATCAAATGCCCACTTGCTGTTGTGTGCCTGGTTGTTCCACCAGGGGAGGATTAAGCTTTCCAAAGGAAGAAAGGATAAGAAAGCTTTGGATTCGAGCCATTCGACGAAACGATGAGGATATTACATATAAACATTGGACGCCACAGCCATTCAGTGTTGTGTGTCACAAACACTTTCGTGAGGAAGACTTCACCTCCGAAACACAGCACGGTTAGTAAGATTATTTGGCTTCATTTTTAGTTGCTTAATTATATTTTGTCTTACAACATAATTTGTTTATAGTTCATAACAGCTGTGTAATAACGCGACGGATACACATGAAAATTTTACTTGTATCTATATCTGCTATATTAATACAGCGAAAAATCAAAGACTTCATTGAAACTTTTTTTTATTAAATGACAAATCAGACTGAGAATTTGGCCATAGAGATGATGCTTTTATATGAGACGTAAACCTTTATAAATATAATGCAAATATACATACAATAATATTTACTTCTGTTACACATGTTCATAGTTGACACTGAAACAGCTGATATGACGTAAAGAATTTCAATGATTAACAGTTTATCATTTGTACATTTGCATGATTTATTACGAATTACCTCCATTTATTTTTACATGTTGACAAGTGCTTTTCTTTTCCATTACCAGCACAGTATCCTAATATTAAACAGTTTGATATTATCAAAATATGCAATGGAGTGGTCAAACTTGTGAAATATATTTTAAAAAATACCAAGTTTGCTATTTCATGGCTATTTTGTTATGTCATAATTCATCAAGATGTGGTGAGGAAATAGAGTCATTCTGCAGTCATGCTCTTTTGGAAGTTCCTGACAAGTGGATTAGGAAGTCACCACTGGATACGATAAGCTTTATAATACATATATCTTTTATTAGATTTTATACATTTTGGACTAAAATTTTTAAACATCTCCTGATATATCATGTTTTTTTTTCTCCAAAACATTTTCATTATGTAGTAAACAATAAAATATTTTTGATAACTTGATAGGCACTGAACCACTAAGAAGGCAGAGAAAACCTGATGCAGTCCCTTCCATCTTCCCTTGGACCAAGTCAAAGTGGAGTTATGGTGTTGATGAGAGGAGCAAGAGAGTACTTGCCCGTCGTGCCAAATTGGAGAAAGATGACCGAGAAAATTCGGAAATGGAAACAGAAATGGTTTCAGATGTTTGCAATGTATATGAAGTGGGCAACAGTGTAGAAGTTGAGGATGAAAAGTCTTGCTTCAGTGATAATGATGTTGAGATAAGTGCCCCTGTTGCACCTGTTTTTGTAGATTCATCATGTCAAACAGCAAAATCGCCAATCATGTGTATTGAAAATTTCATGTATGATGATGAAGGCATCATGTTTTATACAGGGTTGAGTTCCTACACAGACTTTTTACATGTACTGTATAGTCTTGGTGAAGCAGCCTTTCATCTCAATTATATTTATAATCAGGTTCAAAATATGTCAATTGAAAATCAGCTCTTTTTGACACTGATTAAGTTGAGGCAACATAAGCCCAATTTTGAATTAAGTAGACTATTTTCAATATCACAAACAACTGTTGAAAATATTTGGATTACCTGGGTCAATTTCATGTCAAGACAGTGGAGGGAACTGAATTTCTGGCCAGACAAAGACCTGGTCTCCTTTTTCTCCCCCTCTGATTTTTACAGTAAGTTCCCCTCCACACGAGTTCTGCTTGATGGAACTGAGATTCCTGTAAAGAAACCTAAACCACCCATTGCCCAACAAGCAACCTTCTCTACATATGAAAATAGAAACACTGTCAAAGTACTTGTAGGCTCAACTCCAGGGGGTTTAATTTCATATGTGTCTTCTGCTTATGGAGGGTCTGCAAGTGATAGACAGCTTGTTGAACGGAGTCCTTTGGTAAGTACTGACTTATTTGAACCTGGCGATTCTCTTATGGCAGACAAAGGATTCAATGTCCAAGATTTGTTTGCTCCTAAAGATGTAAGTGTAAATATTCCTTCATTTTTTAAGAAACAGAACAGAATGTCAGGAAAGACAGTTTTGCGTGATCGCAAAATATCCAGCAAAAGAGTTCATATTGAACGGCTGATAGGGTTAGGGAAGACATACAAAATTCTTAAAACACCCTTAAATACAACCGAGACAAAAATAGCTAGTGAAATTTTATTTGTATGTTTTACACTTTGTAATTTCAAAAAATGTATTGTTCCCAAACATGCATGATTTTGTCTTCAAGGAAAATGAATGAATTGAAGTTGGTCCACAGATCAATAACTATGATAGGACATGGTATATGTTAAAACATTTTTAATGGAAAGTTTTTATACTTTGACAAAACATATTCAATTTGTGCAGTCTGGTTGAAAAAAAGAATTCACATGCTTATCTAATGAACTTCTTTTATTGATAACAAGGTGGTAAAAATTATAATACATTTACATGTACTACTTTAATGTTACCCTAATCTAACCAATGGATTGTCAGTTTGTTTATTTATTTATTAATTCTCAATTAGTTGCAAGTATTTGTACAACTTAGTCTCATAGCTAGTTACGTAGCCATGTGAATAGATTTTGAGGTACATGATCAATGTACACATAGAGAGTATAACTATAACTGTATGAACATGTACCCAGTGTAAGTTTCTATTTACAACATATAAAGAAAAAAAAACTGTTCATGTGTGGCAGTGCCTATAGGTCCATAGATGTCATTGTTAACAACTTAAATTTTAGTTCATTTTGTGGTCATGGTAATAAAAGTTCTTCAGAACAGCAGTCTTGAAGTATGTGTCAAAAAATGAAATTAATTTCTGCAACATTCTGTCAATGAATGCTTGGTCTCTTTGAATTGAGATAACTTTAAGATCTTTCAGTGTGTAAACAACTAAATAACAGCATGTTTTGTTTGAACAGAAAAGTTGCCCTTGAATTTGATAGAAATAGTCATGAGTATTGTCTAGCTCTAAACATCTATCAACATTTTTTAAATATGTGACAGTCTCCTCTGATATTTTATTGTATTTTGCATGGTAGGGGCATTTAACTTCAATAAGTGTACTTTGGTCCA